AGTTGAGGAGGATGGAGCGCAGGCGGGGGTTCGTGCCCTGCCAGGTCAGGATCAGCACCACACGGCCCTGGCACACCTGTGGGGCGAGGGCAGGATGTCACTAGGGTCCCAGCTGGGGACAGAGGAGCTGGAACCCGCAGGCTGGAGCCAAAAAGCCTGTGAAAAGTTTCCTGATGCCACCTGACGGTCACCCCTTTCTCTGCTGGGAGAGGACAGGCAGCGGGAGCAGGTATGCCTACACCCCCAGGAGCCATACAGAGCTGGGTGCGAGCTCCTGGCTGCAATTCAGATAGAGGAGGGGAGACGAACCCAGGAGTCCCCTGGGACAGCCAGTGCCCAGCAGGAAGGACGTCCCGAGCCAACGTGACCCTGCTAATCATAGCACAGGCGGCTGCAAAGGTCAGCGGGGACTAGCTGGAATACAGGCTTAAGGAAGGGCTCAGGTTAGCAGAGGATTACAGGCAGAGGTGATTCACTCCTGCCCAGCTCCGGTGTGGCGGACAGGGGAACAGCCCAGTCACTAAGGTCCCGGGCGCAGATGGATGGATGGACTGGGGTTTGCTCCTTGCCTTGCTCACCTCCACTTTCTGGCAGGCCAAGCCCAGGTCGGTGCCGACACGCTCCAGAAACCGGACAGCAGCATCTGGGGAGGAGCGGGGATGCCCGAAGTTACGCTGGGATCTCTCTCCCTTCTCACTGCAACCCCCCAGGGACCCCAAGGCTCTCTGGGGCTCCCAGGCCAAGCAAAGGGGTGACCAGAGAGGGCAGGTGATGGAGGTCCTGGGCACAAGGTGGCCGGGAGCGGGGACAGGAGCAGCTCATCACCATCCCTTTGGGGTGAGGACTAGGGGAATGTGAAAAAATAAAAACTGAAGCGGGCAAGTTCAGGGGGGGCAGTCCTCCATAGGAGTTTTCAGAGTTCCTCACCAATAAAAAAATCTTGATGTACTTTGGTGGGAGGATGGAAAGGTTAATGGAAGGAGATCTACAGGCAATTATCACAAGCATCCGTCCCAGAGCCAGGGCAGCGTGGAAAGGGGGGACCCTGGGGCACAGGGCTGGAGGAAGCAAACAGCAGCTCTGGGTGCACTCGAGACGTCCCTGCCCCAACCGAAGGCGCCAGCAGAGATAAGGCACAAAGGTGTTCGCTCCTTAACACCACAATCAAACAGCCCTGGCACAGGACTCAGGCACCTGGGTCCAAAGACCAGAGCTGCAAAGCCGCATTGCCAGATCCCTGCACAGCTCCCCGACCTGGCCCCCCCATCCTCACCATAGTCAGGTTTGGGGTGGACAGTGTCGATCCTCAGGTACTCCCGGAAAAGTGTAACCGAGGGGTCCTCTGAGGCCCCCGTGCTCTTCCCGGGCTTCCCAGGTGCCATGTCAGGCGGGGGACCAGGGCTGCAAAGCTCTGGGGGAAGAGTGGCGAGATGGTTAATCACCCACCGGCCCCTCCAAAGTCCGCCGGCAAGCTCGGTCGTCACAGAAACTGAAGTGGGACGGGGCAAAGGTCTCCTTGGTGTGAGTCCTGGGTCGCCGCCACCATGGGAGAATTTCCCCCCACTTGGGTACGGGGGCAGGATGGGGTGTGCCCTCCATGCCATCCTTTCATCGTCCCCCCAAAGTGCACGTTCCTGCCCCAAACATGGTGCCAGGGCACACTGTGATGCCCAGGTATGGGGTGAGATCCAGGGAAGGGCTAGCTGGGGCATAGAGGGCTAGCAGGGAAGAGAGGGAGGCAACAAGCTGGGGAAGGGTGTTATGGCAGGAAGAAGGGTGTATGGGAGAGTGGCACACAGTAGTCAGGGTTAGCCAGTGATTAGAGGTCCCGGGGGTGCTGGGGGAATGCAGGCAGGGAAGGCAGGATGCTGCTGTAGTGGGGTGCAGGTAAGGAAAGGGGGACACTGCCTACTTAGGGGGAGCAGGAGAGGTGCAGGGAAAGGCGCGGGGGGTGCAGGGAAATGGGGAGGGTGAAGGGGAATCAAGTGCTTACAGAGGACAGAGGAGCTGAGGGGGGCTACAGGAGGGTGACAGGCTACTGGGGGTTTGAGGGGTGCTGGGTGGCCGGAGGAGCAGGGGGGTGTGGGGCG